ACTCTTGGGGAATGTGCCCTGGTGCAACCAGGGTGTGCTCCTAGGAGATCTGAGAGGCACGATTGCATGTCTGCCAGGCCAACTTCCTGATCTCTCAGGAAGGAAAACAGGTGTGTTCCACATCATCTTCCAGAGGGCTCGAGTTGGTCTGAGCCGTATTGCCTGCATTGATAACCTGATCACCCAGAATTGGCCAAAAATTGCACAAGTCTTACAGTAAGTATCTTCCTCAGGAGAATATACTAAAATGTAGAATTGCCTAACTTTTTTAAAGCCAGGTTTATTGAGGTATAATTTATAAATATTTATAAAGTTTACCGTCTAAAGTGTGTATAGTTGAGTGAGTTTTGACAAATGCCTAATTTTAAGTGCTTATTTCCCTTGAAATCATGAAGAACTCCTAAAACCGGTCAAATGTTGCAGAGCTGCAAAATACAATATGAAAATGTAAGTTGCTACACTGTAGTCATTCTTCATGCTTAGCAGAACTCATCTCTAACACAGGAATATCCCTATAGGAAAGGGAGTTGAGAACAGCTGAACTCTAGAACTTCTACGCGTACTGAGAACAATGAAATACGTCTGAATTTTTGGGAGCCCTTATACTTCGGTAAGGCTGTCATTGTCCAAAATGTTTTGGAGACTGCCCTCCAGCACTGAAACTACAGATATTAGATTCACAAATGCTGAGAGTGGCTTCAGACCGCCCAGCAAAGGCAGAGAGGCTAAACATTGTTCTGTGGGATTGGTATTGACATTCAGTGTTGACGGGTACCTGGCCTGCTTCTGGACCTCCAGGCCCCAGTCATTTATACTGGCCTTCCTCCAGCCCTGTCAGCCCCGACTCCAGCAGAGGCTTAGAGGTTGGACTGATCCAGTACAACAAGAATGCCTAGCACAGCATTTCTCAGAATATATACTGTGGTCCACTTAAAAAGATCTTTAGGAAAATGTATCTTACAGCCTATGCTTGACGATTCAAAACACGTGGTAAACAATAAAAGTTTTGACAAATCCTGTAGAAACCATTTTAAGCTGCTTTGCAAAAACACTCTGACCATGAAAGCTTACCTTTTACATTTAACCTGAGATGCTGCAATTCCACAGATGCTTGCTGCTTAGGGACCAGGAGCCAGATTGAAGAGAGAACATCCTACAGCTCCAATCTTAGGCTGAGCCCTGTTACGGCTCTGGTCCTTTGATTTCCATGGAATCCCTGTGTGTTATTAAAATAAACCCCCTTCACTTGAACTGTCTTGAGCTGGTCTCTTGTTGCAAATGAAAACTCTGTTTTTGTCACACACAAGTTCCTTGTTTGGACCAGTGACAATTTCCTTGTCTAGCCTATGTGTGAGCGATTTTTCAGTCTGAATTTTTTTCGTTTGATTTTATTCTCACAATCATTCTGCTCTCAAGCTTACTACATTTTCTACTTATAGGTTTTCCGGTTTTTCCAATTTAATATCCATGAACTTATTTAAGGCAAATAGCAAATGCCATTTGTAATCTACTATTGTGTTGCCTCTCAAGACTACTGTTTTCTCTTTAACAAGCAGCCCCCCCTTTCTATTTTCTAATAGATTTCTGCAGATCCTAGCTTTACCCTGTGTAACCCCAAAAGAAGCTGTTAAAGAGAACTGGATCAGACTGTTAATATTCCCCAGGTCTGCCAAACGTTTTCCAGCATTTTAGATAAAAACAAAACAAAACAAAGTCCAGGGTATACTACGAGGAAAAGATAAACATGGTAAACATCTGTCAAAAGTCATAGTCTTGTAACATATGGTATAGTTTTTTAATGTCATTCTTTGGGATAATCATTAATCATTTCTAAATTAATAAAGCCCAGCTGTAGTTTGCTGGGGACACATTAGATTGGACCATATATAGTCACTGAGTATTTTTGACCTGTAGAAATGGCAATTGCATGTTTGAACCTGATAGAATTGCTCATAGGAGAAATAATTTGGTCAAAAATCAACATCTAAAAATCAGGCTGTTTGCCTTCCAATCGATGAAGCTCTTGGACCTGATATCTGAAACACCTATCTGGGGCTGTTGCTGATCTCAGTTTCTCTCCCAATGAAACGTCACATATGCCTTGTATTAGTTGCTGTGACTGCTGTAACAAATTACCACAAACTGGGTAGCTTAACACAACAGAAATTCATTCTCTCACAGTTCTGGAGGCCGGAAGTTCAAAATCAAGGTGTCGGCAGGGCCGTGCTCCCCTCAAAGGCTCTAGGGAAGAATCCTTCTTGCCCTCTTCCAGTTTCTGGTGGCTGTTGACATTCCTTGGCCAGTGGCCACATTGCTCCAGTCTCTACCTCTGTCTTTCCATTGTGTGTGTGTGTGTCTAATCTTCCTCTGCTGCCTCCTTATGAGGACATTTGTGGTTGCATTTAGGGCCTACCCAGATAATCCAAAATAATCTCAAAACCTTTAACTCAATCACATTTGGAAAGACTTTTTTCCCCCGTTAAGTTAACACTCACATGTTCAGGAATTAGGATGTGGGTATCTTGAGGGTGGTATTTTTCAGCCTACCACAGGCCTCACTGCTCATTTTCAAGGGCCAAGAAAGTGTCAGCCCACCTCTAGGCCCTTAGGACCCAACTAAGAAGTCTGTGTACACCACTGAACCTGTATTCTAAGTCAGCCAACCCAAAGACACTTCAAATTTGGTGAAAATTTGTCCAGCTATTTTCAAGTGCTGTAACAAAGAAGTATAAATAGGAAAGAGGGACAAGAAAAAGAAGGAGTAACAGTTTTAAAAAGTCACATCTTTTCAAACCCTGGGCATGTGCTTATTTTATGACTAAAATGATCTATTTTGAAAGGACTGGAAAAAGCTGTGGCCTTCTCCTGACAACTCTAGGAATAAGAGTCCTGCTTACCCGCTAGTTTAATTTGAAGACAGAAGCAGTAATTCAAACCCAGAACCAAGAAACTTTGACCTCATTGTCCATAGTCCAAAATCAAAAGAAACCATGAATAGGCAGAACACTTCTAAAAGAGCCTAGCATCCATGCTTCCCTCTGAGATAGGAGGGCTTCCTAGCGCAGGCTCCCTCACACAGACAGGCATAGTGGATGGAATCTTGGGTTTGGAATGAGCAAGTTGGGTTTCAGGTCCCAACTCCACTAGAAACTCAGTAATTTTTAACAGGTTAAATTTCTGGGTCTCAGTTGTCACAAAAAGCAACTCCCAAGTAATGTACTTAATAACATCAACCTCTCTCCTGGAGCTATAACCTTCCATATGTCTTCCTAGGGCTTACTTGTCTGGCATTCCTTCAGGGCTATAGAGGCATCATATCTGAAAAGGCAAATAAGAAAATTTCCACTCTTGTTCACTCCCATTTAGTTTTCTCTATAAAATGCAATCTCCAACTGAAAAGGATTCTTCTAGAAAGAAAAATAAGCAATTGTGGGCCAGTAGATTGATTATCTTAATATGAGTTCAATTCTGGGTTTGCTGTCAGTAACCACTACAAAAAGCAAAACAGTTTTTCTAAGGAGATAGTACTAAACAAGAGAGAAATCCTCTCCAGCTCTCAGAACTAAATCCAAGTGTCTTTGCATATCTCCTTCTAAGAAACAAGTGGCTTCTTTTCTAATGAATTATAGCTACTTTAGTATCCTGAAACCAGGCTGGGTCCTGGTTCTCTAAAATGAATGAAGAAATGTTAAATTAAGCCATGTGACAGGGCATGGAGGGGGAAATGATTTTATGCAATATACTAAATTTAAATTCTGCTTTTGCAGTTAAAACAAAAGCAAGAAGGGGAAGAGGTAAGGAAAAAAACTGCAAAGGCAAGTGAAAACAGTTTCTCAGAGTACTGAGTTCTTCGTTTTTCAATTCCTTTTGACGCTGTTAGATTTGACTTCATTCCGATGTTTAGGTCTATTAAGTGGAAACAGAACGAGAAGTCCGTGGGACACACTGCCAGGAAGCATGATTTGCTGAAAATGAGGCTAAAATGAAAAGATGAGACACCTTTAGTTATGAAATCACACAGTTGGCGAAAGCTATTCGCCAGTCAGCGACACCATAGCTGCCTGGGCCTCAGTACAGCCATGTTTTGACTCAGTCTTGAGATTCTGGTTTGTGATTTCCCACTCTCCGCCGAACTGCTGAGCACTCTTTTCTACAGTACTCCTGAGAGCTCCAGAACACACCAGAAGAAAAGGCAGCGAACAGAGTTGGTTCAAAGCAGGCGCTGGCTTTTCTTCGTGCTGCCTCGGCGTGTTGGCGGAGAGACACCATGGACAGCTCTCCAGGCGCCGCCGGGCTGGTCCCGCGTGCTGACTGTCCCAAGCCCCCTCCCACGCCCGTCAGGCCGGTGGGGGCGGCCGGGGGTGGTCCTGACATCCATCTTGGGCACGTATCAATACCCAGCCCCCAAAGCTTTTCCCCAGAGTCCCTCCCTGGCGCCCACGGGGAGCGTTGGTAAGCTCGGAAGAGCGCACGCGAGGAGGCCAGGGAGACCAGATCCTCCCTCTCCCGGCATCCCCAGCGGTGGGACCTGCAGCGGCGGCCTGGGGGACGCGCCGCCGGACGCGAAGGTCACCGCGCGCAGAGCCTGCGGGCACCCCACCTGCGCAGGGTCCGCAGGGCGGCCGGAGTGGGCGGGGCCTCCTCCTGACGCCCCGCCCCTTCCCCCGCGAAGGGCGGCCCTTCCGCCCCCGGCCGCGGCGCAATGCGGAAGAGATGGGCCTGCTGGAGCGGAAGTGACGCCTCCGGCGGCTGTGGCGGCAGCGGCTGCGGGAGACGGAGGAGGAGGAGCCGGCGGAAGAGGTGAGCCAGCCGGCGGGGGGCGGGGAGCGGCCGCGGTCAGACCCACCGGCGGCCGGGCGCGCGGGCGGGCGCTTCCTGAGGCAGTCACCGCCGCCGCAGCGGGGGCGGGAGCGGTGAGGGGCGACCGAGGGCGGGCGGGCTGCGCGGGGACCACCGGCCGTGTGGGGCGCCGTGGCGGGCGGGGGCTGTGGTGACAGCGGCTGTCAGCCTGCCTGCGAGAAGGGAACCCAGTCGGTTCGGGCGCCGGGTCCTCTTTTCTGGCGCATAATAGACGGATTGGGCTGCTCGGCGCTTCCGTCCCCGCGGGAAGGAGCCGTTTTCTCGGGCGGTCGACTGCCCGGGACTCCGAGGAGCCCCGGTCGGGGCCGCGTCCCGACTCGTGACTCTTCCCGGGTGACCATTCATGTGTACGGGCTCCCACCTGCGGTCCCCAGCCGGCAGTGGCCCGGGGGGCGGCGGTCCTCGGTTCCGCTTCCCTGGCCCTTGGCCGCCGCCCCGGAGAGCCTGGCGCGTGGGCTAAGCCTTGTCCCCCTCCCGTCCCCTAAGGAGCTTTGAACCGGCCTCGCTTCCCTGCCCTCCAACGGACCCTCCTTTCCCCCCGAAGGGACGGCTTGAAGTTTCCGAATCGGTTCCCTTGCAAAACGTAGCGATGAATCCCTAAGCAGGAAGCTGATAAACAACTCCGAACGAAATACGCTCAAAATTCTTCCCTTTGGTAAACATAAAGTAAACGGGAAAACTCATCCTAACCCAACCGTTCATGGACTTAGAGTGATAGAACCTTGACGTGCCGGGAGAATTGGTCGCTTTTCCTCTTGCCTTTTGGCCAAATTCGGTGACGACTTATATTTTGGAACAAACCATTCTCTCCCCAGCTCCGTTTTTTCCACCCCCCCCCCCCCCCCCATCAAAACCTGGCAGGGAGGGACTTCTATGGATGCCTTGCAGTTCTTGCTGCAAGAGGAAACATCAGCTTCATTTGCTTTGCTTTGCTTTGCTTGGTTTTCACAGGGCTGCCTCTGAAGAAAGGAGAATGGCGTTCAGCAAAGGATTTCGGGTCTATCACAAATTGGACCCCCCACCTTTCAGCCTCATAGTGGAAACCAGGCATAAGGAAGAATGTCTCCTGTTCGAGTCTGGGGCTGTAGCTGTGCTCTGTAAGTCGTGTTATAGCCCAGCTGATGATGGTCTCTGTTTTGATTTGAATTAATTCAGACTTAACCATTTTTTAGAGAAGACCCTGATAACCCCCTCACTGTATTTTATCTAGCAGATTATGCTTTTATTTCCTTTTAATCAAACCTTGCTGTCTTTTAAACTTTCATTTTCTTTTCTTCCTCTGCTGCAGGTTTTTCCTGGGGGTGGGGGGAGATGCAGATTTTGGTTACAGGGTTTTGCTTTGTTGGGTTCTTCTGCTGCTTCTAAAAGTAAGTCTTTCCAAAGAAATATGGTTGCAGTTTATATCACATCACATAAACCCATAAAATGACTTGATTGACGTCTTTAATGAACAGAATTTCTTATAGGTCTGTAATAGTAATGGACTATAAGAATATTTATGTGTCTAATATTATTGGAGTGTCTTATGGTGACAGCCTTATATTTTCATTAAGAGAATTGTAAACAACTTCTAAAATTACATGTGAGATATGTGATTGATTTCACATTATTTTAAAAATTATTTTGATAAGCTATTTTAAAGGACTACTACACTACAAGAAAAATAATAGATTAGTAAGATTTGGGTTATTTTGTGGGCAGAAGAATAAAATTAGAAATAAAAGATTAATTTGAATATTACATTTCTTTCTTAATTTGAGATTTTGGCAGATAACTCCAGTTTGGAATTATTTGAAATGTGATTGTGTTTTTAGAAGCTTTCTAGTGGTAACTATTTCTTTGTCATATTTTTGCTATGTTAGGATCAGTTTAGTTGTTGGTCATATTTTTATAAATTATAATAAAAATTTATAAAATTTTATAAATTAAAATTATAAAAATTTTATAAAATAAAATTTTATAAATTAAAATTTTATAAATAAAAATTTTTATAAATTATGTTTGAAAATCATACTTACAAATATAAGCCCCTAAATATTTTACACTATTAGACTTTCTCTAGATTCAATAAGTGAAAAGCATAAGACCCTAATCTTTGCGTAGAGAATATTAACATCAGTTAAAGTGTGAAGCTGATGTTAATTCTCTAAAATAGTAAAATTTTATCCTATTGGGGAAAAGGGTAGTGACATAATGAAAAGTCTTAAGCAAAGAACGATGTATAAAACAAATATATATTTTTGGTACATTTAGTAACATGATTTGAATGAGCAGGAAGGAGCTATATGTGTTCCAAGAAACAAGTGTTAGTAATATGGGTTATACTCAATGAGTATGGACTTAATTCATTCAAACTGTTTTTTAATACTTAAATAAACTGAAATATAACTGGCTGCAATATTAGTTTGCATGGCATATTTTTTCATACTACAAATATAATTCTTATACTGATGAATTCTTAATTAAAAATATCTGGTGGGGTGGGGTGGCCCTGTGGCATAGTGGTTAAGTTTGGCATGCTCTGCTTTGGTGGATTTCTTGGGTTTGGATCCTGGGCATGAACCTATGTCACTCATCAGCCATGCTGTGGCATCATCCCGCATATAAGAAGTGGAGGAAGATTGGCACAGGTATTAGCTCAGGGCTAATCTTCTTCAAGCAGAAAAAGAGGAAGATTGGCAACAGATGTTACTCAGGGCTAACCTTCCTGGGGGGGTGGGGGGGAGAAATCCGGGGGGAAAATGTTTGGTTTAGTAAGTGAAACATTTTTCAGTTGCTTGTGTTTTTTGGTGACATTACCTGATTTCCTAATTTGTCTGAATTTTAAATGTTTCTTTAACTGTGGTTACTGGTAAAAGTGGGAGGTCAAATTTTCAATTACAAAGTATGTATTACCTATAGTTATTAGGATTATTGCTATACTTTACTCCAAGGTCAGGAAACCCAAGGGTAATAATATTTCCAAACCTTTAGCAGCCCTCTTTTATGCCAAATAATGGTTAAAAAAAAAAAATCCCTAAAACCAACCATTTTGGCATTAACATTCATTTGAAGGAAAAGAATGTTAAAAATGTTGTCTTAACTCTTTATTAATTCTATTTAGTTTTATTAGATTTAGACTGTATAAGTCATTCTTTCAGAAAGTTTGAATATTGCCTCTCTCCATAAAACTAGCATAAATGGATATATAATGTCTTAGGTATGTTATTAGCTTTCCTACTATAAACTTTACAGTAACACTTAAAATACTAATATTTAAGAGCTAACAGACCTTGTTATGAATCATTTGACTTGTAAAATTAATGTGACATTCACTTTGGAGTGACACTGAGTTGTGTATTGTGCTGCAGAGTGTTCATTTTTAAAACGTTCACATTTTTAAAATGACCATGGTATTCAGAGAACTGTCCTTGGAAAATAGTGGGGTGTTCTCTGTCTTCAACAATCCCAGCCCCTTGAATTTCACTGCATCTACCAGAAGAATCTTCTAAAATTCGTTTTTGATATTAAATCAAAATGTAACCCCGTTTTTCCATAAGATTGAGTTCAAACTCCTCAACCTGTCAATCAAGGCCTTCCATAATTTGGCTCCAGCCTGTCTGTCCAGTGTTGACCTCCTTTGAGGAGACTCTCGTGGTTCCTCACTGCTTTCCCAAAGTGCCATGCTTTTTCCAACCTTGTCATACTGTTCCTTTTTACGCCCTCTTCCTCCAAGACGGTTAGAATGCTTTTCTCTGCCTTCCCTATCCAAGCCTGTCAGTGCCAGTTCCAGTCTTCCTCCTTCAGGAGAATCGGCCCTGCCCACGCACTCGAGCTCACTCTTGTCCCTTCCTTCCCTTCATTTCTCTAGAACTTAGTCTGTATCACAAGCTAGAGACTTCTCTGTGCTGGTTTTGTTGTTCTCTCCATGCTTGTATGCAGGTGTTTTTCTTCAAAGTAGATGGTGAAAGTGACCATAGCAGGACTCAGTCTTCTTGTACATAAAGTGTATGATTTCTACAGGCCCTGATTGCCCTGACTTTAAAGAGTAAAGTTGAAAAAATTAGACGTCTTAGGCAGTACATACCGTTGAGTATTGGCAATCACCTAATTTTCTTGGCTTATGAGAGAAGTGCCATGAGATACCCAACTTGAAATCTTATCTTTCATATTATTAGCACATGTGAAAAATAGGGTGCAAGTGAAAATATAATGAAATTAATCTCCCATCACGGATCCTCACAGGGACTGAGTGTCTGCTGTTCCTACCTTTAGGACTCTGTCTTTATGTTGATAGCATTCTAAGCTTAAATCAGTCATGGTGCTATGACTTAATCAGTGAATGAGCTGGTGGTTTTTAGCCCTGGCTGCACAATATAATTACCTGGGGAGGTTTTTACAAGTACTAGGCCTGGGCTTCAGCCCCCAGGAGATTCTCATGCAATCAGATTGCAATGATCATTTCTGAGCATAGTTTATATAGGCCTTTCGATGATAAATTATGGAATAACTTTTTTGGCTTGCAAATTTTCTCCAAAATAACCATGTTTCCAGAATTTTAATGCTATTATTGTCTATTATGGGGCCAATAATGAGTTTTCTTGAAACTCTCAGCCTAAACCAGGTACTAATGCTCTGTAGCACTTTTAGTATAGTGTTTTCACACTGTGTGGAGTTGTGTTCAGGTTTCTGTGTCTGGCTGCTGTACTCCTTGAGAAAAGGGCCCATGTCTTATTAATTTTTGTATCCCTAGTGCTTAGTACAGCGTTTTACTCATAGTTGCAGAATAAATGATCATTACATAAGTGGGATAGGCAGAAAGGTTAACCTAAACTAGATTACAGAGTTGACAAAAATGCAGTATTCTGTGTTTGAAAGTATGGTACCTTTTTCTATAAAATTTATTTTTTATCTCCTCAAGAATTGCTGTTTGGCTGAACTGCTGATATAAAACACGTGTATTACACAATGTTTGGATTTGTTACTGAAAAATCCTATTGGAAATAACTACTAGCCACATTATTAAGGTTTTTCTGAAATGCCAGTTAAAATGTGTGTGCTTGTTATTTATGACTTCTATAAATACTATTAATAATTTGTTTTAAAGTTACTTTTATTTAGATGGAAAATAATTTCATTATTGATTTCTTTTGTTGCATTTATTTATTTAAAAGAACCTCTGAAATGTTCTTATCCTTCGATAATAGTTAGTATGTTTTTAGTAGTGTACCCATTTTTAGTGTTACTCATTTTTCAAAATTATTAGTCCAGAAAAGTGTGCAATTAAACTGAAAATTTGGTGTAAGGAGCAGTGGTTCAGTGTAGCAAGTGGGCTCTCTGTGACTAGTATGTTGTGTCTGGACCTGTGTAAGCAGTAAATGTGATGGTCAGCAAATTATAACACTACGTATTTTTTCTTGGAAACTAACTTATTAAGAGATAAAAGAAGACATCTATCAGTTTTATTTCGGGTTCAGTTTTCCTCGTCTTTCTACAGTTACACACATAAAAAGACCATCACAGGGGAAGGACAAGGAGCCAGACAGCCAGATAGATGCATTAAATTTACAAGCCATCTCATTATTTTACAACCCATCTCATGCTTCAGTAAAGGTATCTAATTTACTTCATAATTGTATCCTAAGTAGAAGAGGAAGTAAAGAGAAGGTCAACACATGGGAAATGGGGAATGATTCTAAAAACAGAAGTTATGGATCACCTGTTTAAAGGATGGGGATGTAAGTTCCTAACTCTTTAAAATTGGAGCTTTCGTTCTTTTTGACATCTCATACTGGTGTGGTAGTAAGGATTAATTGCGTTTATCTGTCTAGTGGTAAGATTATTTTCAGGTTTTCCAAATCAGGGCTCAAAGCATGTACTTGAATAGATAGCCAAGTCATATCACTTTAGTCTGGACCAGGTTTTACCCCAGGTTGTCCATCTGTATTTCTTTGTCTACCTAATTTTTTTTTTTATCATGAAAACATGAGCCACAAAACTATGCAATAATATTCTGGAGTTCTCTGTCACAGAATGTGAAGTGTCTTGCTTTTTCTATGAAACTGCCCACTGTAAAGGAGTAATAATAATTGCCATTTACCTGAGACTTACTCTGCTA